GGGAAGATAAAAGATAAGAATTTTATTTACATGAAAACAATGAATGGCATAATATTGTGGTAGATAACTACCGATGTCTTTGGAACTACCCTATGGAAACTAATTATTTTATAGAGTGTGAGCTAAAAAAAATGAAATAAGAAAATGCAAAAGGTGAAAATTGAGAAATGTCGAAAATGCAAAATATCGAAAATATGAAAAGTTCAAAATACAAAAGATCTTTTTTTCTCTTCTTGTTGTAAAATAAATGTTCAGCTGAACTGTGTTTCTGTCCCACAACGTCAGAGAAACCAACTTCAGTAACTCATAATACCTATTTATTCAAAATTTAATAATACTTACATGCGCTCTATTTTTTATACGCGCTCTTTTTTCGCTATTTGATCAGCTTCAGAAACAGAGATTGGGTCGCATTTCCAGCACGGGTCATTTTGGGTTAATTTGGATTAGGTACTTCTCATTTCTTTGCTTGAAAAAAGGAAATAGAAAGGACCAGCGCCTACAGGGCCGGACTGGGTCTTCGAAGCGGCCCGGGCGAATGATTCAAACCGGCCCTTTTTTATGTAGAAAAAAATCTTCAAGTCGAACAGTTATATTACGTATAAATCAAAAAATATAAAATTCTATGAAAAACAAAATAAATTCCTATATTACGTATAAAACAAAAAATATAAAAACGTATGAAAAACAAAATAGATTCTAATTAACTAATTAACACAAAATTTAATTGTGCAACAATTGCACATTTGGTAAGTGAGGAACAAAATAGATTCTAATTAACTAATTACCACACAATTTAATTGTGCAACAATTGCACATTTGGTAAATGAGGAACAAAAGTTTATGATTCAAAAATTAGGTATAGGGTCTTCCAACGAGGACTGAACAGGGGCTTATTTTTGACCATACTAGAAGTACATTTTTTCCAAAAATCGTATAAAAAATGGCATGTTCCATTTAAAAAACACCCTGTCTATATCGTAACTCTTCTGTTTCTGGTTCAAATGTTTTTTTGGTGACGTTTTCGAGTTCCACGGAAAAAAATACATCGATTGACTATTTTGGATTTTTAAAAAAATACAAGGAAGGTCAAAAATAAGCCCCTGTTCAGTCCTCGTTGGAAGACCCTGTACCTCTTAAAAAAAAATTATTACAATAGTAAAAGCAGCTCAGCAGCGACGGCAGCAGGTTTAAATGAGCTGCTCCCTTAAACCTTTACAGTGATTTGTCAAATAATTCACAATTTCGTTATTTTCAATAGACATTAAAATATCTTTTTCGCAAGACATAAGCATGAAAGCCTCTAAGTGGTCTTGAGTCAGACAGCTTCTTAATCTATTTAAAATAAACTTTAATTTGGAAAACGACCTTTCACAGGCTACTTGAGAAATGGAAAGAGTAAGTAAATATTTATAAGCTTTTTCTAGATTAGGGTATGCCTCGGCATATAAGTTGTATTTCTGCAAAACATAGTAACAACAACTAATACAGTTTTTGCAGAACTTATGCGAAGTGTTATTTTCTGCTCCAGCTTCATCTTGTATAAATTCTTCTTTGGTATTTTCTCTTTCTTCTGGCAATGCTGATGATAACGTATTCCACTTGGAACCAAAATCTAAAAGTTCCATTTGTAGATTATCTTCTATGATATCAGGATAAAACTTGGTTAGCTTTTCACAAACTTTTTGGAGAATGTTTGTCGAGAAACTTTGAAGTTTAGAGAAATTTGAAGGGTGAAAGCACTCGAAGTCCTCATACAATTCTTTATGCTTCCCAAATCTAGCTTCTAAGACATTAATTACTTTGTCCATAGTGACATTGAAAACTTCTACTCGAAACTTGTCCACTGGATTTTGGAGTGCTTCATCTTCACAATTTTCATCGTGGAATTTCTTTTTTCGTGTTCTCCTTCTAGCACACATTTCTCTGTTGACCTCCAGCGGAATTTCCTTTTCCATAAAGTGCCCATTCACTTTGAGTATAAATTCTTCCGTTTCTACCACGACTTTATCAAACTCTCGAGAAAATGTTTTGAGGGTTTTTATCGTATCTTCGACCATGCGGTAGGCTTGTAACAAATCCATTCCTGACGTCTGCAGATACTTCGAAAGTGGGGAAGTTAGCATGAAAATTTTTTTGTACAAAATTGAAGTAATAACCGTCTCATACTTCAAAAATCCATCAAGAAGAGTTTGTGCTGTATATCGTACCTCTGCATTGAAGCTCTGAGATTCTGCTATTTCATAAAATGTTTCGCATAATTGCACGAAGATCCCGTTACTATCACCAAAAATTTTTAATAGTGCCTTATCTTTGGACCACCATCTGGTTTCTCCGATTACATTCAAAAAACTACTTGTTGACGCTGATTTCCACACATTCATTCTTAAATACGATTCTCTCACAAAGACGGCTGATTTATTTAGGAGTCCAAACAACGAAATAACCGGAACTGTCAGTTTTGTCACGTCTCCTATCACCAAATTTAGCACATGTGCATAACACCAGACATGTATTTGGCCAGGAGAGAATTTTGACAGCCATGTTGTGAAACCATTGTACTGCCCTTGCATGTTTGCTGCGCCGTCGGTTGAGTTACCAATACAGTTAGTGATATCAAGCCCCAACTGAGATATGCATGAGGCCACCATTTCGTACATATCTTTTCCCTTGCTGGAAGTACAATTGATTAAATTAATTAACCGCTCATGTACTTTATTACTTTTCACATATCGGATAATTATAGAACATTGGTCAACTACATTTATATCTTGAGTAGTATCAATTTGTATAGAATATATTTTGGCATTTTTAACTTCAATCGCAATTTTTTGCATAATAAGGCTTGATATTGCAGCTATTATGTTATTGACCGTTGACTTTGACAAAAAGGTTACCAAATTACCTCTGCCTTTTGAATGACTTCCTACTCTTTGAAGACGGGTTTGACTTTTTACCGCAACTTCTTCAATATGTTTTCGCAATAACGGATCAAATTTTGAAATTACTAAGACAATTTCTAGAAAATTTCCGTGATCTATATTCTCATTTAGCAAGGAATATGCCGCTTCATTCTGGCTATCGCCCCTATAGCTTAGACCACGTTTTCCAACTAATTTTATGGTTTCGATCACCCTTTCTAGAATTTTCCTGTTATTTTCTAATTTAGCTCTTCTTTCTGCAGCAGCACTTGAAAAAAGCAAATTATGCACATCTTTGTTTTTCTTATGTATTAAGTAAGCTTCGGTACTGAGTATATGGCCTTTAGTTGATTCATGCTCTTCAAGTCTGGTGTATATATGTTTTACAGAATAATTAATACCAGCAGCTAAACTATTCACCCCAGTATCTCTACCAAAAGCTAAGCACACCCAACAGTGAACCATTTTTTCTGAACTGTTGAAACTTACCCATGTTCTTCTAGATCCAGATTTTCTGAAATATATTAAACGGGCATTGTAATTACTTTCAACAAGGTCAATGGGTTGTTGAGGGTGGCTGTTTAGGAACAGTTGCAGCTCTTTTAGGTTTGATGGTTTTTTAAAGGAACAAACCTCTACCTGGTCCCTATCTTCACCTTCGCTGATTTCTTCCTGTTGATCATTGGCTTTTGCATTCACATTTTCTTGAAAAGAACTAACAGGAGCTGAAGCTAGAGATACTACGTTTTGCTCAACCATTTCGAAAGGAGTCAATTCATCAGTTGCCTCTTCATTTGAATTTGAAGTTGTATTTGTAGGTGCCTCTTGAAATTCTTGAGAATGAGAAATGTCGTTTTCTTTGTTTTCTAGTTCAAGAGCATCAACACTTTCTTTGTTTTTTGATGCCTCGTTATCTTTGGCGTTTTGCAAATTCACCAATCTTTGTTTTGCAGCAAATAATTCTGATATGGTATGGCAACTCTCCGCGCTTTTATCCAAAAGTCTTTTCTTTTTTTCCCTTTCCTTTTCCGCACCTCCTTTTCTTTTTTTCGTTTGTTTGATTTTTTCATTTTCTCTATTATTATTACCACCAAACATATTTACTGAAAGAAAATAATAAAAATTAAAAGTTAATTACATTTAAGTTACTGCGGTAAATACATTTATTTTGGTCATTCGCTTGAAATTGAAATTCATCGAAGAAATTTAATTAGAGTGAAAACCTTAAAAACATACACAAACATAACCTATAACCTACACAGACACACACACACACACACACACACAGATGATTTAAGCCAAGGGCCAATATTGAAACTAAAACTACAACAAACTCAAACAACAACAAAAATTTTGCTTACCTTAAATAATTTATTTATGGTAATCAGGTACGCTGCGGAGTCCAGTTTTGTTAATGGTTTTCGTGGATTTTCATGGAAAGATGAAAGATATTATCAAGCGGTGACTGGTACGACGAAGCGGCAGGCTTGGGCCTTGGCTGATTACTACATTCAACCTTTCTTGTTCTTGTCACTGCTTGCCTTTTTAGCTTGCGTTCGGTATTGTATTGAGGCGGAGATCAGAGTATCAGAGCGCTCGAAATCCTAACGAACGCGATTGAGCCTACACCCTACACCGAGCAGTGAGCACACTTTTTAATAATCGAACGATTCGAACGGTAAATTCAAGCTCGGAGAACTCGGATCAAAATACCGAACGCGCGGTTCTACGTCGAATTAGGGCCGGTACTTTTGCCCTCTGTCAAATATTTGATCAGTGAACAGGCTGTTAAATATTGATCAATGTTTAAAATGCTGATTAAAGTTATTTGGGTACTTTGGCTAAATTTGCCAGGGTCGTTAGTTAATCAACTCATATTGTCTTCTTCTTCTTTTTTTATCAAGTAAATTTTGGCTCAAAGACATTATGGAGCCAGGCGCCATCTATGATTTTATGCGAAATTAAAATTTGAATTTAAAAACTTCAATTCTACCGTTATTCCGCGTTATTCTACGTAAAAGCTCAACCACAAGCTCAACTTTTCGTTTTTCCTGTGTTAAAAAGTTAAATTTGTGTGAAATGGATAACGAAGACAAAAAAAAACGGGGTGTTAATTGGTCCAAAGCAGAAATAAACCTGTTTATGAATTGTTTACTCCCTCACATCAATGTAATCGAGAACAAACAGACTGATGGGGTATCTTTAAGAGAGAAACAAACAAAATGGAAAAAGGTGCATGAAAATTTTATTGCACAGAATACCGATCAGGCCAGGGACTTAACATCTCTTAAATTAAAATATGATAACATCAAGAGAAATTTAAAAAAGAAAATTCAAAACAATAAAAAGCAGTTGACAAAAACCGGCGGAGGACCACCACAGGAAGAACCACTCTTATGGTATGAGGAAGCTTTATATCAGGTGCTTCAAGTGAGTATTGATGGGCTACCATCAGAAGGCGATTCCGATGCCCTAACGACCCCTTTGAAAAAAAATGACCCAAAACCCAGCACATCATATTCATTTCGCGCCTTGTTGGAAGATAATCCAGATGGTAAATATTAGATAAATTGGCTCGGAAATTGGATAATCTAGCCCCTTTGGAGGTTTGCTATTAATAAACAGTTATTGTTTTTCAGGGGAGGCATTAAGGACAGTCGAAATAGTCGAAATAGATGTCGTTTCTGATATTGGAGAAAGCTCTACCAGAGTAAGATATTAACTATTCCCTACTGTTTCTGTAATAACAAATTAGCTATTTAACTAAAATGTCTGTCTTTCACCGAACGACACGTAGCGGAGTTCGGTGAAGCAGCCGAGTGCGGAAAAAAAAAATTCGCAAGTTTTAGGTACAATAGTTTTTCTACAGACGTACGGAAATAAGTCTACCTACATAATTTGTTAACTTTTTTTTTGAAAGCTGTGTGGAAAAATTTTTCCTCATCGATATCTGTGCGAAAAAATCGATTTTCCGCACGCTTGAAGAAAATAGTTATTTAAACAATAACAAGTTTTGAAAACGATTTTTTCGCTCGGCTAGACAGTTTGTTGGGCCGAGCCGTAGGCGAGTTCCACAAGTCGAGCGAGTGTGAGAAAAGGTTTTCAAACGAGTTTTTTACAATGCTTTTCCTACAACTGCAAAAAAAATACAACCAAATATGTAATTTTGATAAATAAATAAACAAACTAATTAAAGCAGCGTGTGAGAAATCTTTTTCAACAGCCGTCTGGAAATAGTATATTGTGTATTTAGGTGGAAAAGTGACACATTCTCGGCCGACGGTGTAAGTTGACGGGCGAGGCGTAGCCGAGGCCGGCAAACCGAAGGCCGAGAACTGCTTTTCCACCGAAATACACATAAAATTTTTTCTGCGATCGGTTAAATACCTGTTAAATGTTTGTCTTTTGGTTCTAATTATTCAGCAGTACGAGAATCACTTTTCCGGCCTAGGCCGGAAAAGTGTTTTCTGTATTGTTATTCATTGATTCCTTAGCAACTATTGAAACATAATTAAAATACTAGAATATGGAGTTTTGCGACCTGTCAACCCGTCAAAAATGCTGACATTTCTTGTCAATTGCATAAAAAATCAATTTTTCTCACCGATACCAGTGCGGAAAATTAGTTTTCCTGCACTAGTGTGGAATAATTTTTCCGCACGGCTGTCAGAAAAAAATACTAATAAATTACTACAAATTATGTAGGTATGCCTGTAGAAAAACTATTGTACCTAACACTTGCGGAAAATGTTTTTCTGCACTCGGCTGGCTCGTGGAAAATTCATTTTCCCCACTATTGTTAGGTAAATAGCTAGTGAAAAACTCTATTTTCAGAGGTAGCTGTAGGAAATAGCTATTTACCTAACAAGTGCGGAAAATGAATTTTTCCGCACGCGGCTGCCGTTCACCGAACGACGCGTAGCGGAGTTCAGTGATGCAGCCGAGTGCAGAAAAATATTTTCCGCAAGTGTTAGGTACAATATTTTTCCTACAGGCGTAAAAATGTAAAATTTTTCTTTTTTTTTTGACATATCAGTGCGGTAAAGTTTTTTCCGCACTGACAGCCGTGCGGAAAAACTTTTTCCGCACTGATATGTCAAAAAAAAAAGTTTTACCGCACCGTGCGGGCAAACTCATTTTCCGCACGCATATCAGTGCGGAAAAAGTTTTTCCGCACGGCGTTAGTGCGGAAAAAATTTCACCGCACGGCTGTCAAAAAAAAAAATCTACATTTTTACGCCTGTAGAAAAAATAATGTACCTAACACTTGCGGAAAATATTTTTCCGCACTTGTTAGTTAAATAGCTATTTCATATAAATAATACAATTTTCTCACCAGTGGCAGTTACCTGAATAATCTATTGACCAATGTAACTTTTTTTAGGATGTTGATGAATCAATAATGCAGATCGAAAACGAAAATATGGATGAAGAGAATCAAGACCCAGAGGAGCATCCTGCAAGGGAATCAGTCAAATCAGCGGTAAGTACAATGAAGTAGTAAGAACGTTTGGAATGGCCCTTTATCTAGGTACTCAATACCTACGTATATTTGCGGCCAACATTGGAGTTAGAGAAAGAGAGAAATCCATGAGATTTTCTGTCCTTACTAGCGCTACCTCGCTCAGGGTTAGAGTGAGAAATCCGGGAGATCCAATGGATTTTGTGCCCTTACTAGCGCTATCTCATCCTGGAATCAATGTAGTGGCGCAAAGCCCATTCCAAACATTCTTACTATTTTATTGGGTAAAGTATCAGTACCATTGTTACTGGTATTTCTAAAAACAGACTATGCAAGTTATTTGGTGAGTGGACCTAGTAACTTACAGAGAAGGTTTTTACGAATGAATAATGAATTATTGTGATTATCTAGTATTTATTTCAACTCGCTTAGCTACAACTTGAAAAAATTATTTGCAGGCAAAATCAGGCTGGAATTTGAAAAGGAAAAGGACAATTTCGGCTGTTGATAAAGAAACTTCTCTTCACGCCTTCGAGGCATTATCAGAAAAAAAAACCGATTTAGCGTCGGAGCAGAAAAAATGCTTTGAAGTTGAGCTTCGCATGAAGCTAGTAGAAGAAAAAAACCAAAAAGAGGAATGGGACATTAGAAGGGAAATCCTAAAAACGGAGTTAGAACATAAAAAAATCCAGCTTGAGGCTATGCGAGAGAAGAAAAAAACCAAAGCGACTAAAGAGGAACTAAAAATAGAAATATTGAAATGTCAACTAAATGAAAAATTGAATAATCTCACCAATATAAAATAATTATGTACAGAGTGTTTCCCCATATTTTGACAAAATTTTCCTGTTACAAAAATATATAGTCTGCCTATGTTTGGTTGGGCAGTCTCTTATATATTTGGCTGTAAAAATTGTGAGGATACTATCATCAAGATATTTTATGAACCATTCTACCTGTAAAGGTGAAAGCTGCAGGCTTGTGGCGCATGGTTTCTTTTTAAAATTTTTAAAGCCAAATATTTTGGAGAATGTTCAACCAAATATAGAGAAACTATATATTTTTGGAATCGGGAAATTATGCTCTTCAAGAATATGGTACCAAATATAGGCAATTCCACTTAGAAAAAGATAAAAAGTATAAAAAATTTCACATTTTCAATATGTGGAAACACCCTGTTTGCCTGTACATACATACATACTATAATATAAGTTCTAGTTAAGTAATTAATATATTTATTTGATAATTCATAATATATTTTAATGTAAATAATGATTTTATTCACCAATGTCCTTTGTTTATTATGTTAGCTTATTTTCTCATTTTCCTAAGGGCCAAATTATGGACCAACTGGTAAGTGTCTGGTTGTTACCTAGCAGGTACTTTCTATGCACTAGAGAATAGAAAGTACCTGCTAGGTAACAACCAGACCCTTACCAGTTGGTCCATAATTTGGCCCTAAATAATTAACAAAATCTGCTCATGTAATAAGTCCCTTTATAACAAAGTTTGGAAATAATTTATATAGGTCTGGAGGACGTGATTATTTCGATTGTTAGCTGGTATAATGATATCGTCATTATCTAAAGGTAATGCTTCATTTTCATCTTGATTAGGATCATTCATTTGGTCCCTATTGATAACTGCAATGTTATGTAAAATAGCAGAAGCTATTATAAGCCTTTGCACTCGAGGAGTCTTGCATCTTATACCCATTTTGAGTAATGGAAATCTTCTCTTCCATATTCCTATGGTTCGCTCAACGGAAGTCCTAGTGGATATGTGAGCTCTATTGAAAAGTTCTTCAGCTGGAGTTCGAGGATTAGGAATCGGTGTCATCAAATAATTTGTAAGTGGATAAGCACTATCACCCAACAGGACACTCCCGTCAAATTCTCTATTCTCAAATCGCCCTTTAATCACTGAATTTCTGAAAATATGACTGTCGTGTGCTGACCCAGGCCAACGAGCTACAATATCCATGATGTAATTACGGCTGTCAGAAATAATTTGAACGTTCATGGAAAAAAATCCTTTGCGGCTCCTAAAGACTTCTGCATTTGGACCTCCTGTAAAAAATATATATTTGGGTAGGAACACATTTTAAAATAATATAAGTAACTATGTAACTATTTTTAAGTCAAACTCAAAAATTTAATAAGCTATCAGTTTTTCTTGAAGAGTGAAATATTCATGAAAATATACCTATGTAAGTGATTTTTTACCTCTCGATTGAATAGGCACATGGGTTCCATCGACTACTCCTATAACATTTGGAAATCTAGCTAAGGTATAAAACCCAGCTTTGGTGCTATTAATTTCCTCAACATTATTTGGAAATTTTATGTATGTTGGTCGAAGAGCTAAAATTGCATCAGTAACTCTTTCAAGAATTCTACCAGCTGTTGTCTTATGAATTCCGCCAAAATCACCTGTAGTGACATAAAACTGGCCAGTGGCATAAAAACGCAGTGCTATTAACACTTGCCCCATTGGATCAACTTCACGAGATCTAGAAAAAAAATCAGATCATAAAATTTGTTGTTGTTAGATCGAGCCAACAACAAATTCAATATTCATTTACTGATATAATAATGTATTATTTACTTACTGATGAGTATCATAAATCAAATTTTCTTCGATTTGGGGAAGTAAGTTCTGAACAGTCTGTTTTTTAAAACGAAATCTTTTGAAAAATTCATCATCATTCCATAATTCAAAATGATTGGGTCGTTCCCTAATAGTATATGTTCTTATATTTCTTATAAAATCTATAAGGTCCTCATCATTATCGTCAAACAACTCAATCAATTCATTTAAATCCATTTTTCACAATTTTCAGCAGCACAAACCACAGAACGTCTAATTTTCAAAAATAGATTATAAAATTATAGGTTAGGAAACCTCCGTTATTTTGAATAACCGCTGCTTCAGTTCGCCGTCAAATTTAACAGAGGCCAGGACCGAACTTAACCATGATTAAGGTTTAATCGACACCAAAAGTACTGCAAAATGGCTGGTTATGCCTGACCACATATCAAATCGATTTAGCCGGCTATCAAATTTATTTGACGAAGAGCAAAAGTACCGGCCCTTAGAGCGGTAGTGTGTAAAAATTTATTTATTATTTATATTTAATTTTTGATCGATCCAATTTTTGGTTGATCGTCGCAGAACCGACCGGCCCATCAGCCCCTAAAACCCACCCGGCCCATCGGGCTGCGCCCGATCGCCCGGCCTGCCAGTCCGGCCCTGAGCGCCTAGTGCGGTTTTTTAACCAAAATTAACCCAAACCAACCAAAAATAACCCATACTAACACAAACCAACCGAAACTAACTCAAATCTACCAAAAAAATTCTAGGGCCTTTAAATAGACACAATGATTAATTTTTAAACTTTTAATAAAGGTATTTCTTCAACAATAATTGCCACTTTGACTTTCCAACTTAATTTATTTAGAGAATATTTTCCCGAACGCCAGGCAGGCTCTAAACTGCCAACGTTAGTCCACTTCAATCATAATTCGCCTACGCTGTGCTCGAACGAACACGAGTGCAGCCGAAGGTCCTATTACGTTGGCAAAAAATGAATATGCCAGCGGGAGACTTTAGCTCGCGTAGTGGAACGCTTTGTATTTGGTGAGGTTATGGTGGTTTGTTGTCATTGGTTTGTTTACATTTTTCAATACCGGTTTCTTTTTTATTTCACAAAAATAAAATTAAATTAAGAGTATTTCTGTCGCATTAGGAATTGTTTCATAACCTACCATGGATAAAAGGCAAAAAACCAACGCTCTACAGTGGTCCGTGTTTCTGGATTTTGCTGAGGAACATCCAATTATTTTAACCAAAAAGTTTGAGAGTATCAAGGCCAAAAATTCATACAATGAGTTATGGAACGAAATTAGTAATACTCTAAACAGCATGGGCTTCTCAAAAAAGACCACAGATAAATGGCAAAAGGTATGTACATATAAAATATTTTGAAAGTCAAGTTAAAGTGTTATATATTTGAAATAACTAATTATTACTTAGGTAATCAAAATCAAGTCTATAAAATTTAATAAAATCTATCTGCAATGCAGTTTTTAATACAAGGGGCCAAGGGCCCTATATGCTTGAGTTGTTATATTTTTTAACTTTTTAACTTAAAAATAAGAGCTCACTTTTATGAAAAATTCTTGGAAAAATAGGAAAAAGTATTGAGGTACCTATATATTTATAGGCAGTGTCTGATTGGAGATCTAAAGTCAAAGCAAAGGCTGCAGACATAAATCAGGGATTAAGCCAAACTGGAGGAGGTGGACCTATGCCTCCTTTGAATGATAATGAGAAACGTTTATTAGCAATTTTAGGATGGACATCAGTGACTGGAACTAATATAGAAGAACTAGGAATTGTAAGTATCTAAGTACTAATTTAGGTTTGATTCAAATTCAAGGTAATTTTACACATTCTTGTGGAATGTTACGCTCGGTAAATGGAAATATTGAAATTTCCACATAGACTTGAGTTATTCAGATCCCGAGAGTCGAGTCAAGAATTTGACACACCAACTATTTTCCAGTTAACTCTCAGGGTAGGATTAACTCTAGTCAGTCTATAAAATAGGTCCTTGTATCAGTGATACATTAACTATTAAAAGCTGATTAAAAAAAAAAAGAAAAATCATGAAAATTGCATTAAGTATGTATTTATTCTGAAAGTACCTATTGTAGATGTAGATCTTTGAATATTTTGAACTCGATTTTTAATATGCATGGACATACAGCATACAGTAGATATTCAATAGCGAGTCACCTTCGGGTTGTTTTTAACTCCAAGGTATATGTGTCGAGTTGCAATGTTTACCCTGGAGTTATGCTTAAACTGGTGGTGACTTGCTATTGAGAAACTGGCCCATAGCGAATTATTCATATACATATTTGTTTTTAAAATTTTGACAAAATTCAAATATAAATCTATTTTAGCCAACTAAAGCCTTGGAATCTACAGCCCAATCTGGTTCTACAGCAGAAGGTACATATATTGAATATCTAGGCAGAGATGTTTCACTTTCTCCTCCACCATTAATTTGGAACAAAGACTTGGGGGAAAGCATGACAACGACAACCAACGATGAAGTCTCCGTCCGAAAGAATGTTGAAGAAGGTCCAAGAAAAGCTGAGGTAAGCCTGAAACTGCCAAAAGGAAAATATCAGAGAAACTGTAACACTTTGTCTACTGCCAAATCGCGGTTGAAAGTAAAAACCAATAATGAGCTACAAAATATGCAAGAAGAAACCATCACTGTGCTGAAAGAAATGAACAAAAACCTAGACAGGGGGTCCGTTAAGCTGGCCCCCCCCCGCATTGATTTTTTTCTTCAAAACGGTAGCACGCGATCGTTAGACCTAGCACAACCTAGCACAAGCTGTTGTAGAGCTAGCACAGTCATAGTAACAAAAAAATATCCTAGTTAGTGCGGGGGGGGCCAGGTTAACGCTAGCCCCCCCCCCCCGCATTGTATCAAGGCGCCATAAAGCTAGCACAGCTTCATCGGAGCTAGCACAGGCTAGCACAATAAAAAAGAATGCTAGCACAACTATTCGTTTTAAAATAATAATGCACAAATGCGGGGGGGGGGGGCAAGTTAACGTTTGGGATTTTTTGGGAGTTGGCCATGAAAACTGTTATGGAAGCTTGGTAAATAGCTAGCACAACCTAGCACAACCATTTTCAGATCGATCAGAGTTTTCGAACCGAAGTTATTCCCTAATTTATGCAGGGGTGGGGAAAGTTAACGCTATTCCCTTCCTTGTCCTTGCCCGTTTTTAAGTCGCTTTAATGCTGGCACAGATTTATTTGCGTTTGCACAGCCTAGTATAACCAAAAAGAATGCTGGTACAAGTAGGTATACTTTCATGATAATTAGGCCATAATTGGGGGCGTGGCGGTTTTCAACCTTTGGGGATCTTCTAGGGATTTGTCATGAGAACGGTTATAGAACCGTGGTTAGTAGCTAGTGCAACGTTATAGCCTAGCACGTTCATTTTTCAATCAACCCAAAATTTAAATATAGAAATTATCCCCTAATTTATGCTGGGGTCGGGATAGACCTCTATCGCTTTACCATTTCTCGTCCGTTTTTAAGTTGCTTTATTTACCTTTTAATCAATCATTTACATACCTACCTATAGTATTTTCAAAGTCAATAATTGTAGAGGTGATTATCGATAGTTTATCGATAGTATCGATATTTCAAAAAATTGGTATCGAACAATCGAAAATATCGATAGTGCAAAGTGCAACTATCGATAGTCGCAGGATAATCAAATTCAATGAACTAATACGAACTTAAATTGAATAGGAAGTATTTATGGAGTTCACTGCTCCAATTTTAAATGTAAAATAGGTTAGGTCAGGGTTTGGGGTGCATAGGATTGACTCCACCACTGCACCGGTGTAATCGACGATAGAAATTAGACAGAGACAAACGACAGACTCTCGGAGCGGTGGAATGGTTCTCATGTCGGTTGAAACCAATGAACTATATTCAAAAACTGGAATGCGTACACATTAGTTGTATTCCTTTCAAGAGTTTGAAACACTCGAGCTACTCGCTCCGGTGTTCAGTCGCCCCCGATTTGCAGGGAACAGATGCGTGGCGCAACAAACACTTTTCGAAAGGAATAAGCGCGTGACGCCCCGGAGCTGTTCCGGAGCTCCTCCTAGGTGTGAAAGGAATACAACTATTGACATATCCGCTAGAAAAATAAAGCCATCAAAGACTGATGCAACAAGGGGGAATGTTGTTCTTTCCTGTTGCTCGCTGACATATTACGTTTTAATAATAGAGGGTGTAGAGCTGTGTGCACGTTGAGGAGTAATGAAGAATGAAAAAGTTTTGTATTTCGTGCAAAATTCTTTAATAAATATCAGTGCAAAGCGCTTTCGGCCCTGGCCATCATCAGTGCAACCTGAAAGTAAGGAAAAACACTTTCTGAAGATACTGGAAAATTTAATGAAAGTTTGGAAATTTTGGAAAATTTGAAAATTTTAAAATTTTTTGAAAATTATCTGAAATCTTAGAAAATTTAATCTATATCAATTTAAATTATTCAAAAGGAAGAAATTAATTACTAAAGAAAGTAAATTTACTCACTTCGTCAGGTTTGTACAAAGAGTCTTCTCGTTGAACATATAGGTGTAAAGGAACGAAACATCACATTACAAATTAAAATAACACATTAAAATATCGGAAGATCTTTGGTTTTTTCGCTGGTGCACTATGCAAAGGCTGTGTCCTCTCAAATTACAATCACATCGAAAGATGTTTTTTAAGTTTAAGTTAATATTTCTTTAAATTTGTGGAAGACCAACAAGTGATGAATGATGTGCAGCCATTTTGTGTATGGTTGCACGTTTTTGATTGTGGTTTCCCTTTAGAGTGACACATGACAAGTAAGTCAGTGTAGCTGACAAGAGCGGGAAGTTCGAAAAGTAAAAGTTTATAAGATCCAAAACCATTACCAACGTTTTAAAACAATATTTGGAGATTTAAGATGTTTATAGTGTAAAAAACTTGTAGTGTAGATGACGAGCTAGTCCTCCACAATGTGTAGACTACCCTTATATCATCATAGAGTGCAAAAAGGATATATGAGATACAATTGAAATAATGAAAATTTTGAGTAAATAATTGAATAAATTGACTTAGTTAAGATCATCTATTGGTTTTTTGATTTAATTTAAAAGACGTCTGTGTAAGGGAATGTAAGATCTATTAAGGTTCACCTGAGTGTTGAGACAAGAGAAGTTGTCCTGAAGTTCATTTCTGATTTCAATGTCCTCCATAAAATCCAAACGGTTGAAGTTTTTAGAGCGAATTTCGTGAAGAATTTTAGAATTTGACCTGGGGCTGAAATTATGCTTAGTTGTCCTAATGTGTTCACCAAAGGCCGATGTAGTTTTTGTAAGATGTTTCTGTATTCGAGTCTTGAGAGGTCTGCACAACTAGCACATAACAACGAATACGACCCACACCTAATTGACACCCTCATAACAAAAACTAAATATAAAAGATTGAAAAAAGAGTTGTTTCCTACCCTGAATAAGCCAATAGAGAAATATATTGCTATTCCATTCTTGAATCATGATTTGAATCTTAAAATTATACAGGTCATTCACCAAAATGTCAATAACAACATCAAAATCTCTTTCAAATCCAAAAATAACCTGTCTTCCTTTCTGGTTAACTCCAAAGACAAAATCGACCACCTGTCCAAGAGTGGAATATATAAACTAAACTGCAACTCCTGCAATTGCACTTACATTGGGCGAACTTGCAGACCTCTCAAGACTCGAATACAGGAACATCTTACAAAAACTACATCGGCCTTTGGTGAACACATTAGGACAACTAAGCATAATTTCAGCCCCAGGTCAAATTCTAAAATTCTTCACGAAATTCGCTCTAAAAACATCAACCGTTTGGATTTTATGGAGGACATTGAAATCAGAAATGAACTTCAGGACAACTTCTCTTGTCTCAACACTCAGGTGAACCTTAATAGATCTTACATTCCCTTACACAGACGTCTTTTAAATTAAATCAAAAAACCAATAGATGATCTTAACTAAGTCAATTTATTCAATTATTTACTCAAAATTTTCATTATTTCAATTGTATCTCATATATGCTTTTTGCACTCTATGATGATATAAGGGTAGTCTACACATTGTGGAGGACTAGCTCGTCATCTACACTACAAGTTTTTTACACTATAAACATCTTAAATCTCCAAATATTGTTTTAAAACGTTGGTAATGGTTTTGGATCTTATAAACTTTTACTTTTCGAACTTCCCGCTCTTGTCAGCTACACTGACTTACTTGTCATGTGTCACTCTAAAGGGAAACCACAATCAAAAACGTGCAACCATACACAAAATGGCTGCACATCATTCATCACTTGTTGGTCTTCCACAAATTTAAAGAAATATTAACTTAAACTTAAAAAACATCTTTCGATGTGATTGTAATTTGAGAGGACACAGCCTTTGCATAGTGCACCAGCGAAAAAACCAAAGATCTTCCGATATTTTAATGTGTTATTTTAATTTGTAATGTGATGTTTCGTTCCTTTACACCTATATGTTCAACGAGAAGACTCTTTGTACAAACCTGACGAAGTGAGTAAATTTACTTTCTTTAGTAATTAATTTCTTCCTTTTGAATAATTTAAATTGATATAGATTAAATTTTCTAAGATTTCAGATAATTTTCAAAAAATTTTAAAATTTTAAAATTTTCAAATTTTCCAAAATTTCCAAACTTTCATTAAATTTTCCAGTATCTTCAGAAAGTGTTTTTCCTTACTTTCAGGTTGCACTGATGATGGCCACGGCCGAAAGCGCTTTGCACTGATATTTATTAAAGAATTTTGCACGAAATACAAAACTTTTTCATTCTTCATATTACGTTTTGGAAAGTTTTGTTATATTCACCTACACAGGTTTTATAAATTGGAATACGCGTTGAAAGCAATTTCCGCCAGGCATCCCCTCCGCAGCAGCGGCGCTAAGCTACACTTTCGTCGATATATGTGCGCATTCCAGTTTTTGGTTATAGTTCATTGGTTGGAACAAAGCTATAGGTTATTTATTTGAAGTTACCAATTTAGGTTCTTGTTTGTTTTTGGTTTTAGGTAGTTTGTAGTTTGTAGTCTCAAGGTTTAATACGATAATATTTATTTCCATAAAAAAATGAAACAATATCAATAATTTGTTTTTTGTTGCATACCATCGATAATTTATCGAGAGTTTCGATATTCACCAGCATGATTATCGAAACTATCGATATTATTTTTTTATCACTATCGTCCAATCAAGTCAATTGAAACAAGGTAACAACTGGTGGCTGACTGGTCACTGATAATGTTTATAAGAAATGCACTGCCACTAGTCTGCCACCAGTTATACGATCTACTTTTACCTTGTTCAAATTGACTTTGGAAATATGGGGTGTCCCAATAGAAAGTGACCAATTTTAAATGCTTATAACTTATTTATGCATATAAGCCCTTGAAACAGGTCAGTTTCTATTGGGGCATATTGTACTATACCTACCTACTTTTTATTCCGAAAGAGCTACTTTGAACAAAACTAACCCAAACAGTTCAAACTAA